TGCCATTTCTCCCTCGTGCCCTTCTCCACCACCTTCCAGCCACACTGGCCTCTCGGTCTGTGAATACCCCAAGTTCTTGACTTTCACAAATACTCGTCTCTTCTGGGAGTACCACTCTTCCCTTATCTTCTGTTTTCCTTTCTAAACTAACTTGTCGTCCTTCATGTTTCACCTCAGATGTCATTTCCGAGAGGTCCTCTCTAATGCTTTCAGTCTAAATTATAACTCACCCTGCATAATTTTCTCTCCCAGCACTCAGGATGTCTTTTTGCTTTTTTGAGTTGGAGTCTCACTCTGTCACCCAGACTGGAGTGAAGTGGCCACTCCCAGCCACCGCAGCATCGACCTGCTGGGCTCCGGCGATCCTTCTGCCTCAGCCTTTCAAGTAGCCGGAATTACAGGCATGCACTACCACGCCCGGCTGATTTTTTTGATTTATTGTAGAGCTGAGGTCTTGCCAAGTTGCCCAGGCAGGTCTCGAACCCGTGGGCTCAGGCAGTTCACTCACCTCGGCCTCCCAAAGCGCAGGATTGCTGGCTGAGCCACCGAGCCCGGCCTCAGGATGTCTTTTAATTATGTATTGATGTATGTGGTGTGTGAGAGGTAGCAAACTGGATAGGGGAGTTAGGAGCTTGGACTCTGGGACCAGGCACCTTAGGGAGAATTCCAGTTCTGTCACTTCCTGCCTGTGTGTGTGGCCTTAGGCAGGTGACTTGACCTGTATACCTCAGTTTCCCTATCTGCAAGGGATAATAACAGCATCACCACCTAAGGTTGTGGGGATGATCAAAAGGGTCAACAGATGTGACATATTTGGTACTGTGCCAACTGTAGTAAATACTATAAAAGCGTCATCTGTTGTTATTCTTATGAGAGGCAAAGCACCTGATTCAGGGCCAGGGCTGAAACAGAGGCTCAGAGAATGTTCCTCTTCTCCTCTTGCCCTGGTGGAGCCTCCCTGGCCTTTCCCTCTATGTACCATGATCATGTTTTCCAGATCAGAGGTTGGACTGGAATCTGATGAAGTATTTTCTCATCTGTAAATGGGAGTAATGGCCGAGGGTGGTCACTTATGCCTGTAATTCCAGTACTTTGGGAGGTGGAGGCAAGAGGATTGCCTGAGTTCAGGGGTTGAAGACTAGCCTGAGCAACTTGGTAAGACCTTGTCTCTACAGCAAATCAAAAAATTAGCTGGGCATAGTGGTGCGCAACTGTAGTTCTCGCTACTTGGAAGGCTGAGGTGGAAGGATCGCCTGAGCCCAGCAGGCCGAGGCTGTGGTGGCCGTGAGTGTGCCACTTCATTCCAGCCTGGGTGACAGAGTGAGACTCCTCAAAAAACCCCAAACAAAACAGGAATAATGAAAATGCTTTGAGGATTAGGTTGGCTGAGATATGAAAGACCTTGAGTTGGGCCTGGCACTCAGGGAGTGCTCCCTAACTGTGGGTTACGTGTCTCCCTGCCCACTTGTGACAGGGTCTTCATGTCACCCTTACACATCTGGTACTCATTAAATGTCTGTTGATTGAAAGATTGAGTGGAATCACATGTGAGTCTGCCTTGGCTTAGTCCTCCACCCACCCCTGGTGTGTGGAGGACTGAGGTCTGTGGGTGAATAGATAATTTATACCACACGTCCAGTATTGATCTGCACCTGGGAGAAGGGTGAATTGGGAGAGGATTCAACTAGGTGGGATGTGGGGTCCTGTGAACTGAACCTTGGTGGGTATGTTGGGTAGCGGGGGTGGATAAGTCATTTTGTGAGTAAGGCTTATGTTGGGAGCATTTTATTGTGATTGGAGGGCACAGTATGGGAGGATGTAGCAGGGATTGGAGGAATTAATAGAGGAGGTTGGCTCACGGACCTGCGCAGGAGAGGTGAAGGCCTGTGTTGGGGCTTTGGGGGTAGAGAGGTGGGTGTCGAAATCATAGTTCCTGTTTCTGGATAACTTCTGTGGCATAGGCCCTGAGTCAAGCATTTTATGAGTTGCATCATTTAATCTGCATGACCCCACCATGCAGCAGGGATCTCTTGTTTGTCTGTTTTTCAGATGGGGAAACTGAGGCTCAGAGAGGTGAGGTCACATGCCCAAGGCTCACACAGCTAGAGAGTGGCAGAGCTGGGACTCACCTCAAGGTCTGTGGGACTCTGCTGCCTGGCCCTGCCTCTGCTGCTGACCAACCCTGTGTGGCCTTGGACAGGGGCTGCTGCTCCCAGCCCCTTGCTCTCCCATGTCGATTGAGGGCATGACTAGACACAGGAGTCAAAGATGTAGGCCTGAAGGGCTTATCTGATCCTTAGGATGGAGGAAGCTGGGCCCGAATGGTGTGGGAGGGCCTGGGGGCAGAGGCTGGGCAGACTTCCCTGGACCTGGAGTGGAAGGATGGGGTTCCCCTCAAGCCAGAAAGAGGAAGGGGTTAGGGTGGGAGGAGGAAGTGGGTGGGGCTGAGAAGTAGTGTGGGGGAGCAGAAGACCTGCCTTCTACTTTCTGTCCTGTGGCTGACAAGGTCTGTGAAAGGTGAAGGGAGCCCACAGAATGAGGCATCTCCCAGAGCTTTGGTTTCCTCATTTGTCAATGGGGTGAAGGTGGACCCTGCCCCACAGGACTGATTCTGCTGAATCTCCATGGATCAAGCACTTGGCACATAGAGCAGTTGGCAGCTGCCAGCCATTCTGGAAGCATCCATTGGGCACCATGCATAATGCTAACTTCTTCTTTCTTCCTTTCTTTCTTTTTTTTTTTTGAGTCTGAGTCTCACTCTGTTGCCCAGGCTAGAGTGCAGTGGCACGCTCATGGCCACTACATCCTTGACCTGCTGGGCTTAGGTGATCCTTCTGCCTCAGCCTTCCAAGTAGCTTGAACCACAGGCACACGCTACCATGCCTGACTAATTTTTTGATTTATTGTAGAGATAAGGTCTTGCCAAGTTGCTCAGGCTGGTATCAAACCCTGAGCTCAAGCAGTCCTCTTGCCTCTGCCTCCCAAAGTGCTGGAATTATAGGTGTGAGCCACTGTGCCCAGTTAGCATCTTTCTTTCTATCCATTGCTGTCTTTAAAAAAATTTTTTTAAATTAAGGGCTAGACAAAGCTAATTGTCTAGAGGCTGCTGAGAAGCTCAGAGCTGCTATCTTTTTACTCTTCTTAATGGCTTTTTGCAGCCAGGATTGTTCCTGGTTAAGGTAAGAGGAACCTGTGCTCAGAGAGGTCATTACTTGTCCCAGGTCACAGTCCCTGAATGTTCCTGGGTTGGAATCAGCTCTGTGTATTTAGAAACCTGCCCTCTGGGACATGGGAGGTTAAATGACCTCTGTCGAGCATTACTGCTACCTGGTTGTGTGACTTTGAGCAAGTCACTTCACTTCTCTTGACGACCATTTCCTCATCTGTAAAATGGAGGTGGTAATAGGGCCTGCCTCATAGGGTTGTTTGTGGTTCAAGTGAGTTCATGTGATTCAAGCACCTGGAGTAGTGCCTGACAGAGCTGTAAGTGTTGGCCTCTGTTATTTCCAGTTTGTAGCTGATCTTCAAGTCAGCCTTGCTGGGTATGTAGAGAGGTGTTACTGTTACTAGCCCCGTGACACAGGTGGGAATTTAGAAATCCCAGAGGAGGGACAGTTTGATCAAGATCGCGTTTACAGGGATAGCCTCAGAAGTCCTATGTCTTGTCTCCTGTGCAGAGCTGCAGTCTCATTTGGACAGATATGGGTAGAGTTGTGACAGAAATACAACTCAGACTGGCTTAAGTGAAAAAGGGAGTTGATTGTAGCTGAAATTCCAGGCACTTGTGATCCTGAGCTCACATGATGAATTCAGGAATCTTTTTCTCTCTGTTGTTGACCCTGGGTAGGTTTCTTTTTCTCTTGGTGGTACAGCGGCCCCCAGCAGCTCTGAGCTTCCAGCCCATCATCTCAGCAGCCTCTGTGGAAAGAGAGCACTTGATTCCTAGTAGAGGCAGCACAGGTCCAGCCCCAAATCTCTTGGTCAGGACCCTGCACCTCCTTGGTGCTTGCTTTGGTGGTTGGGAGGGATGGGGATGTGGTTGGCCCCACATGAATCTCATTGTTTGGGGGCAGGGTGTGAGGTTGTTGTTAAAATGCAAGTCCTTGAGTTCATGCATTAGTACTTTCTTTTTTTTTTCGAGTTGGAGTCTCACTCTGTCACCCAGACTGGAGTGCAGTGGCCACTCCCAGTCACTTCAGCCTCGACCCGCTGGGCTCCGGCGATCCTTCCGCCTCAGCCTTCCAAGTAGCTGGAACTAACAGGCGCATGCTACCACACCCGGCTAATTTTTTGATTTATTGTAGAGATGAGGTCTCATCAAGTTGCCCAGGCGGGTCCCGAACCCACGGGCTCAGGCAGTCCACTCACCTCAGCCTCCCAAAGCGCTGGGATTACAGGCTGAGCCACCGAGCCTGGCAGTACTTTCACAAATATATATTGAGCACCTACTGTGTGGCAGTTATACATGTGAATAAAACAAACAAAAATCCCGTCCTTCAGGGAGCTCCCATGGGGGGAGACAGATGATAATCATGATCATAGCCCATAGAGTAGGTTAGCAGGTGGTAAGTGCTTTGGGCAAAAACAGAGTAGGGTATGGGGACCTGGGCATGCTGTGGGAGAGGGTGTGGGCAGGTGGGTGCAGCTGTGAATAGGTTGGCCTGGGTGGGCCTGTTGGCAAGGTGACTCTTGAGCGAAGACCTAAAGAAAGTGAAGGAGCAAATACTATAGAGATGTGGGGAAAGGCAGGGTGGAGGTGGTGTTTGCCTAGCTGGGGGAGCCGCGAGGAGGTGGTGAGGCTGGAGAGGACTCGAGGTTAGGAGGTAACCACAAGGAACTATGGAGGCTGTGTCAGGACTTCATCACACTTGGGTGAGGCCACCGGAAGGGGGCAGAGGGCGGAGCCTACGGGAAGAGGCAGGAGGGAGGAAGGGTGATGGTCCCCTGAGCTGTATGTTAATTGATGGCCCCTCCCTGACAAGTCTCTCCTTTCTCTGCAGACATCCGGCTTCGGGTTAGAGCAGAGTACTGCGAACATGGGCCAGCCTTGGAGCAGGGCGTGGCATCCCGGCGGCCCCAGGCACTGGCGCGGCAGCTGGACGTGTTTGGACAGGCCACTGCTGTGCTGCGCTCAAGGGACCTGGGCTCCGTGGTGTGTGACATCAAGTTCTCAGAGCTCTCCTATCTGGACGCCTTCTGGGGTGACTACCTGAGTGGTGCCCTCCTGCAGGCCCTGCGGGGCGTGTTCCTGACTGAGGCCCTACGTGAGGCCGTGGGCCGGGAGGCTGTCCGCCTGCTGGTCAGTGTGGATGAGGCTGACTATGAAGCTGGCCGGCGCCGCCTGTTGCTGATGGAAGAGGAGGAGGGACGGCGCCCAACGGAGGCCTCTTGATCCTGGATCTAGCAGGACTGACCCCCACCTCCAAGTCTCTGGGCCATCTTCTTCCCTGGAGGATGACCATCTCTGCCCCTAGAGGACTGTTACTCTAGCAGCTGAAGACTGCAACAGGACCAGGACAGCAGGCCCCTTAACAGCTCCTCCCACAGGATGTGGGCTCTGAGGCCTAGACCACTTCCAGCTGAGTTTCCTTCCCAAACTGCCCCCACCCCCAGGTGTGTTCCCTTAGCTTCAAGAGACCAGGGGTTTAGGCCCATATCCCCAAAGGGAGGGAGGCATACACATTCACCCAAAGCCCCTGCACATCATGTCTCAACTTGGGCTGTCTGCACGCACATGAGTGGGCACACAAACTCACTCATGCTCACATACTACCCCTTCTGAAATCTTCCTGGGCCCCTGCCCTAGCCTGCTCCACATATTTCTTTGGCCTAAGGGCTTCTCTCTCAGGATCTCTAGTTTGATTACCCCCAACCTGGGCATCAGCCACACCAGTGGGCACCAGAGCTGGGCTGCACATGGGGCATGCTTACCTTGCCCACATTCCTAGCCAGCCAGGGCCCTGCCCAGCTTCCACACACAGACTTAACTCTTATCACCTTTCCTCTGTTCCCTGGAGCTGGACATAGACTTGTACTTGGACCCTCATCTGGAGCATCACACGTGGGTGTTGTGGCAACATCAGACCATGACCTACTGTTGCCCTTGGGGCCAGGACCAGAAATTAACCGCCTTCTTGGAAAGGGAAGGCAACGGCTTAGGGGCTGATGGGAAAGACCTTTTTACAAATGGCACCAATAAAACTGCACTGGAAAGGGCATAGGTGGGTGTCAGACTCTTGACTCTTTTTAATCTTTATTTTTGAATTATCTTGTTTTTAGAGGGTAAGCTATTGCTATGTTGCTCAACCTGGTCTCTCAAGCAGTCCTTCCACCTTAGCCCCCTGAGCTGCTAGGGCTACAGGCACAATCCATGAAGCCCAGCTTTGGTGGGCTGGGAGGAGGAGTGTTCCTAGCCCAGTGTTAGGGGCTAGAGGGTGGGCAGGATGCTGTATTATCTGCTAGCTGATACCCCATGCTTTCCCCACTCTCTGGACCTGTTTCCTCAACTGTGAAGGAAGAGAATACAGTACTGTCATGGAGTCATAAATGCTTCCAATCCTGTTCTTACATACTTCATTCCTGTATGTCCTTGGGGGGGGGTCCCCAGGATTTTTAACTAGTTCTGTGAGGTGATCAGCCACTCCCAAGGATGATGGAGCCCCAAGGCTTAGAAATTGAAAGGATAGGCAACCAGGGGTTTTCTGCCTGGAATTAGCACGTGGCTACTCACCCCTCACACCTTTCTGGACATTTGCTTTCTGTTAACTTAGATCTCATGTCTTTTTTTTTTTTTTTGAGTCAGAGTTTCACTTGGTCGCCCAGACTGGAGTGCAGTGGCCGCTCCTGGCCACCGCAGCCTCAACCTGCCGGGCTCTGGCGATCCTTCCGCCTCAGCCTTCCAAGTTGCTGGAATTACAGGCATGCACTACCATGCCCAGCTAATTTTTTGATTTATTGTAGAGATGAGGTCTCGCCTGCCCAGGCGGGTCTCGAACCTGCGGGCTCAGGCAATCCACTCACCTCAGCCTCCCAAAGGCGCAGGATTACAGGCTGAGCCACCGAGCCCGGCTTTTTCCTTCTTCTTTTTTTTTTGAGTTGGAGTCTCACTCTGTTACCCAGACTGGAGTGCAGTGGCCGCTCCCGGCCACCGTAGCCTCGACCTGCTGGGCTCCGGCGATCATTCCGCCTCAACCTTCCAAGTAGTCAGAATTACAGGCATGCGCTACCACGCCCGGCTGATTTTTTGATTTATTGTAGAGATGAGGTCTTGCTGCCGAGGCGGGTCTCGAACCCGCGGGCTCAGGCAAGCCACTCACCTCAGCCTCCCAAAGGCGCGGGATTATAGGCTGAGCCACCGAGCCGGGCCTCATCTCTTCTTTCTAAGGCCAAACACTGCTTTTTGCTGTTCTGTGGCAACAGCTGAGACTGGCCTTCTGCCCTTTCCCCTCCCTTTGTGTAAGAGCTCAGGAACTAAAGTTTCTTACACAACACCCAGGGTTTTCCTTCCTGAGGGGGAAGGGATTGAGGGTTGGGGAGCTGGGGGTAGACGGCAGGGACTCCTAAGGGTTGGCATTATCTTTGGGGAGGGGTGCACCTGCCCATACTGGAACTTGTCCTGGACCGTTGACCTGTGTTTATGTACAGGGATGGAGTGGCAAATCTAGGAGCTGAGTCCTGTCCAGGAGCCAAGGCCTGATCCAGCCAGCTGCTGTGTGATTCAGACTTGCCTTTACCCTCTCTGGGAAGGAGCTAAATTCTACCGGGCACCTACTCAAGTTCTTCTTAATACTCAGCTACCTTGTGTGGGATTTTATTCCTGTTTTTTTTTTTCTTTGAGGGATAGTGAAACATTGAGATGGAGAGAACCTCTACCTGGGTGACAGCAGTGAATTTGGGGAGTGAGATGGGGATTCCATCCCCTCGCTCGGACCCTTCAAGGGGTGTGGGCCTTCTTTTCACAGGCTTCCTAAGATTTGAGGCTGTCCTCTACTTCGGTTACTCCTCCTTGGTGAAGGTGGGAGCTGCGGCTTGCCTTAGCCCCTGCTGGGCTCTGGACTACCGGGCCAAATTCCAGGACCCGCTTCTCAAGTCCAGAGGATTGTCTCCTGGTCGTCTGTCAGGACGCGTTTCAGGCTCTGCCATCCCCTTCAGTTTCGCCCTTTCTGTCCCGCCCTTTTCAGCCCCAGACCCATCTCTTTTGCTGCCGGAAGTAGGGAGGTCTGATCACGTGGTTGCAGGCCTGCGCAGGCGCAGTGGGTGCCTGGAAGTGCGCGTTGGCGGGAAAGGCGAGGCGGTGCCTCACGCCTCCAGAGCTTCCCTGAGCACATGCGCTGGGGAGCTTGTCGGAGCGAGCGGGGAGCCAGGGGTGACACACAGACCCTCGAGACCCAGAAGTGGGTCACACCCAAAACACGAGGACAACTGAGGGAGATCAGAGAGCTTTAGAAGTCGAGAAACAGGATTGTGTGGGGGCAGGGCATGAACAGGCTGCGGCCACAGGAAATAGGGGCCTGTGGGAGCTGGGAAGGAAGGCGGGCCACTGCTCCACGGAGGAGCGGTACCTGGGTCTGGCTCTTGAAGGATGAGTAGGAGTTCAACAGAATGACAGAGAGGGCATTCCAGGCAGAGGGAACAGCTCTTGCGAAGACCTCAGAACATTGCTGAATGGGCTTGAGAGAGAAAACAAACAGCGGTAAGTGCAGATTTAGAACCAGCCACCCCCACGTAGGTCAGCCGTTGTCTAGGCCACAGTCTTCTCTGTGGGAGCAGGAACTGGTGGGGAGATGATCACTAGCCCTGACAATATAAGGTGGCAGTGTGAGGCAGGCCCAGTGTGTCTGGGCATGGCAGCAAATGTCTCACGATGCCTCCTGGGTGCCAGGCCCTGAGCTGCGCTGTGCTGGGGATGCTGAGGGCTCCAGCCTAGGCACTGGCTCTGGAGAGCTGCTGTTCTGGGCAGAGGGAAGCCGGTGAGCCAGACCGGCAGACATAGTGGGTCGCAGCTCAGAGTGCTCAGAGCCATGACTGAACAAGTGACAGAGCCTGGGGGAGCCCAGAAGGCACTGAGTGGAGGGCCACAAGAAGGCTTCAGGGACTGGGAAATTCCTTGTTCATTCTGTTAACGATTACCACCACCAGTCAAGTGTTATGGCTCATGCCTGTAATCCCAGCATTTGGGAGGCTGAGACAGAAGGAATGTTTGAGCCCAGGAATTTGAGAACAGCCTGGGCAACAGCAAGACCTCATCTCCACCAGAAAAATTTAAAAAATTTTAAAAAGTGTGCACCTAGCCAGGCTTGGTGGCTCAGCCTGTAATCCCGCACCTTGGGAGGCTGAAGTGAGTGGATTGCTTGAAGCCGCGGGTTCGAGACCCGACTGGGCAACTTGGCCAGACTTCATCTCTACAATAAATTAAAACAATAGCCGGGCTCGGTGGCTCAGCCCGCACCTTTGAGAGGCTGAGGTGAGTGGATTGCCTGAGCCCGTGGGTTCGAGACCCGCCTCGGCAACTTGGTGAGACCTCATCTCTACAATACATTAAAAATCAGCTGGGTGTGGTAGCGCGTGCCTGTAATTCCGGCTACTCAGAGGAAGGCGGAGGCGGAAGGATTGCCGGAGCCCAGCAGGTCGAGGCTGTGGTGGCCGGGAGTGGCCACTGCACTCCAGTCTGGGCGACAGAGTGAGACTCCCACTCAAAAAAAAAAAATTAGCCGGGCGTGGTAGCACACGCCTGTAGTTCCAGCTACCTGAAAGGCTGAGGCAGAAGGATCGCTGGAGCCCAGCAGATTGAGGCTGCGGTGGCCGGGAGCGGCCACTGCACTCCAGTCTGGGTGACAGAGTGAGACTCCAACTCAAAAAAAAATAATAATAAATAAAAATAAACAATTAAAAAGTGTGCACCTATAGTCCTACTTGGGAGGCTGAGGTGAGGAGATTGCTTGAGCTCAGGAGGTCAAGGCTGTAGTGAGCCATGATCATGCCACTGCACTCCAGTCTGGGTGTCAGAGTGACTCCAACTAAAAAAAAAAAATTACCTCCACCACCACCACCAAGATATATTTTAGTTGTGAAATATAACATTCAGAAAAGTACTTAAGACTTAAATGTACAGTTAAAGTTAATGTAAAAACATCTCTGTTGGACGGGTACAGTAGCTCACACCTGTAATTCCAGCAACTTGGGAGGCCAAGATGGGAGGATTGCTTGAGCCCAGGAATTCAAGACCAGCCTGGGAAACATAAGAAGACCTCATTTCTACAAAAACACAAAAAGTTAGCTGGGCATGGTGGCATGTGCCTGTAGTCTCAGCTACTTGGGAGGCTGAGGTGGGAGGATCATTGGAGCCCAGGAGGTCAAGACTGCAGTTAGCCGTGATCATGCCACTGCACTCCAGCCTGGGCTGCAGAGAGTGAGACTCTGACTAAAAAACAAAGAAACAAAAAACACCTGTGTTACCCATGCCAAGAAATACATTACCAGCACCGCAGAAACTCCTGCCCTCCTTTCTGTCATGTGCTCCTTCCTGATCACCACCTCCTTCCCCTGACTGGAAACACTATCCTGACATTTATAGTAATTAATTCCTTACTTTTCTTTAACTTTCTAGTTTTTCATCACCCCATGATATAGTTAGTTTTATCTCTTCTTGAACTTAATATAAATGGAATCATACAGTATATTTTCTGTTGTGCCTGGTTTCTTTTGCTCAGCATTGTTTATGAGTCTTCCATGTTCTTCTTATCTGTAGTTGGTTTATTTATTCATTTATTTGTGAGTCAGAATCTCACTCTGTTGCCCAAGCTGGAGTGCAGTGGCATGCTCATGGCCACTGCAGCCTCCACCTGTTGGACTCAGGTGGTCCTTCTGCCTTAGCCTTCCAAGCAGCTGGAACTATAGGTGTGCACCACTACACTCAGCTTATTTTTATGATTTACTGTAGAGATGAGGTCTCACTAAGTTGCCCAGGCTGCTCAGGCAGTCCTCTCACATCACCCTCCCAAAGTGCTGAGATTATAGGTGTGAGCCACTGCACCCGGCTTATTTTTATTGCTGTATAGTACAGTATTCCATGGTATGACTATCACAATTAGTTCATGCATGGCACTGTTTATGGACATTTGGGTTGCTTCAAGTTTGGGGCTATTATGAATAATGCTGTATGAACATTCTTGTGCATGGTTCTTGGTGAACAAATGCTCACATATCTGTAGGGATATAC